GAAAGATAGCCTCCATGGGCAAGGCATTTTGCTGGTGATAGACATGAATGAAGCAATAAATAAAACACTTTGTCTTTAAGCTATTCACAGCTAAGTCGAGATGGCTTAATAAACCTAGACCACAAATTTATTTCATTAAAGAAATATTGGCTATTTAACTTATATCTAAAGGATTCCAGTATTTAGGTAAATCATTTTTAAAAAGAGGTGAATTAATAGTGATTTCTAAAATTCTGGCTTTCCATTTACCTATTAATAAAACCAATTTCAGTATAATTTTGCTTCTTGAGACAAATATATTCTCATAACCCTAAATCTCATTTTGATCTTGTGATATGTGAAAATAAGTATTGTCTATTACAACAAGTAAGGGGTTGCATCAAAAATTATTACTGGAATGCTTTGAATTAGAACTGCAGCCCTTGTTTGAGTTGACCTACTTTTTCTGTGCCTTTTGAGTTTTGTGATAATGTATACAACAGCATCTTTAGTTTTTATTCATAACATATGTCCATAAATAAACTGATCATTAGTTTTAATTGTTTACTGTAAGAATTATTCTTTCCTGATCTCATTCAATTTAATGATTATGGGGATAAAATATTTACCATTAATTAAATACAGTACTTTGTGGAGAATTGCCGTACACAGTACACTATTCAAAGCAACTCAGTTTTTCTTTAATTATATGAAAGTAACTTTAATATCAAGCTGTGTGCCTGAGTGAGACCACTTGAAAACAGATAGTCATTGTGCTTTCAGGTACAGAAGTACTTCTTAAAGCAGCAAAGATTACTTGTTGATAGAGTCCTACATACACAGTAATTTTCATTTGGTTGCCTATGGCACATTTACTTATTGGTTATTGTTTGGATGTTTGGATTGTTTAAGATCTAATACTGACAGGAGAGCATCCATGAGCATTACATCTGTGTAATTATGTTTAACTGCGAGGGCATTTACATTCTTATGAACATCATTGCCAGTTAGAAGCAATAATTTTCCTGTTCTTTGTTCAAAGTTCTGATGCTTTTGGACAATATTTTTCTTCCAACCTCTAAGCACACCATGGAATATAGGAGATACATTTGAAAGATATCCAGACTATAGGGCTGTTTGTTCTGTATATATGAATCTGATCAGTAGAACATTTCATATTAATGAAGCATATTATTATGAAGATGAATAAGTTTGTGATTTGGATGCATTCTATTTCCTTATTTATTCATACTGATGATGATGTAGATGCTAGCCATTGGCTAGTTTTGCTCTATCTAGATAGAAATCACTAGTAGGAAAAAAAGTCCTCTTTAAATGCAGGTCTTGCAGGTCTTTGGCTGCAGTGATTTGAGGGAGTGGACAGACACAGACAGTGGTGGTTATGAACCTGTTACCCTACAAGTATTTCAGCTCATGGATCTGCCTAGGAAGTCATGATTTTTGAACCCAACACTCGTTCGTGGGTTCCCCAGTATTAAGACTCTTGCTCCTAAATAATTGGCAGCTCCCTGGAATTCATCTGTATTCAAGTTCTTCACTTTTCTTCTCTGGAATCTTATTTCCCTTTATCCTTATCTAGCTCCAAATTTGCAACCTTGCTTGCAGTTTCCTGTCCTTCCTTTCCTCACTATTCTCCAAATGTTCATATGATTGTTCTTCAGATGTCTATATTCCCATGGTGTTACTTGCCAACTGCTTAGCTGTTGCATACACCACCACTCTTCTATCTTTGCCAAAAGTTCCTGACTTGTGCTGCATTTTAATATTATTGAATGTAGTAAATAAGATATTATTTGAGAGATGCCTCTTATTGACCCTAAAGTTGTAACATCAGAGGGGCCAGCACAAAAGACCTAATCAGCAAGCCTGAACGAATATATGAGATCTTGTTTGGACAATCTTGCGTGAGGATTTATCTTTAGAGGTCAATTAAACTTGGTTATTATGCAGTTTTCTCAAGGAACTTGTATGTGTTCCACATGCTCGTGCTGGCATGAGGAGGACAACCTAGCTAGCTACTTGACTGACAGTCCCTTAGCTTATGGTATCTAGAACAGCAAATAAATGTCCACCAGCTAATGAGGACATCAAAGTGATCCATCCTTCCACATATTTGCTTCAGAGGAAAATGAACAATAGGACTATGTATGATAAGAATTTTATAAACACATCAAAAGTAATTTTAAAAGTATTTTAAACATACTTTAGTAGCATCTCACTCCTGCCTAGAGCCCTAGGGAGAAGCATGACCCTCTTATCTGTCTCATAAGTGTTTGCTTTTGGGAGAAGGATGTGGGAATGGATTTTCAAATAATCAATTATTATATCTTGCAAGTATGTCTCCATAAGCTGTGAGAGATAAGAGTGTTAGGAAGAAATCATGAATAATATCAAATTGAAGGCAAAAAATCTGAGACTTATAAGCAAAATAAAGATAAAACAGTGTACTCTTGCTTATGTAATTATAAAAGCTTTTCTAGCAGATCACTTGGAGCAGGAACCAAGTTGCGATGTACAACATCTATGTTGTTTTCTTCTTTTCCACTCTAGAGTTGAGCTCATTAATACTGCTGTTATCAGTTTTTATTGTTATATAGCATATTTTCAAGAGTAATCTCATAATAGGCCATGTATACAGTAGGTCACATCATTACTTAACCTTGAGCACCATATCTACAAAACCAATATTAATGTGAAATACTTTAAAAAGGACTTTTTATTCACTAAAATTTCTACTTATTTTTATTGCATAATAACTTTAAAGATGTTTTTGTCAAACTAACTTCTTGGTTTGGTTATCACAGTGCCAACACTATAGAAAAGTCTTAAACTATTTGATATGTTTAGAGTGAATAGTGAAAATAATGTTGACTGTTCTGTTTCTTCCCTTCCTGAGGGAAAGAACATCCCAAGGGTGATAGATGTGAGGATAGCAAATTAAGACATACACTACATAGCTTGTGTGTACTCTAACAGGTTATTTTGAAATGGATGAGATTTTGCCAAATTTTGTATAAGAATATTCCTCATGCTATTTATTGATATATGATGATATGTACAGATTTCCTGTCAGAGTGTTGTGAGTGTATATGGGACATTAAAAACAAAAATAGAAAAAAAAAATCTAAACTGAAAAATGGTGCAATTAATATTGATTGTCAACTTGAAATAAATGTAAAGTCACCTAAGAGACAATACTATGGCCACAGCTTTCAGGGTGTAGAAGAGCTGTGTAGAATATGGGGGAATGGCACTATTCCTTGAGTTGGTCCATAAACTGAATAAACAGGTGAAAGGGGTCTAACACCAGCATTCAACATTCTCAGTTCTTGCTGCTGTTCCCGTTGTGATGGAAAGAACCTTCCAAGCTACCAGCCAAAATAAGCCTTTCATTCCTTAAAAATAAAAAAGAGAGTGTTTCAGTCCTGTTTGATCTTCACAATCCTTATAAAAGATGGATAGGCTATACAAAAAAATGACTATAGGTATTGCTTTCAGTCAAAGGTAAAGGAGATGCCATTTTGTGATTTCATTTTTCTTTGGGTAATACCTTTCTTCACGATTTTCCCTCATATTATCCTCAACAAAGGGTAACTATGTGCCTTTGATTACCCCATAATGCATTGCTATAAGGTAGAATTTCTTTTTCTAGGACTACTGGGAACTGGTATGCTAAGAAGACAAACATCTTAATTGTCTCTGCTCAGATTCCTGCTCTACTTTTGTTTTCTTCCATTTTGTGGTTGAAAGAATGCTAGTTATTTCAGGTTCTACAATTTTAAACTTGCTTTTGTTTCTTTTTTCCATGAAATCTATTTAAATTGCATTTAATGATGGTAATATATGAGCCAGTGCTAATAGATAGCATAGCATCAAGGATGGAATAAAATGTAAACTGTGAATTCTTTGTGATCACAGTGGGTTAACGTACAGTTGCTACATAATAAATAAACTCTTCATTTGTAGATACACAATAGAGGAATTTATGCATCTGTGGGGTACAGAGGGAATATTGGAAAAATATCTCTACTTTCTACTAATTTTTTTTCATGAACTTAATATTACTCTGTGAAATAGAGTTTTTAAAATTAAAAAAAAAAAACACACAAAACAAATTTCCCCTAACATTTTAGAAGTGTTGAAATCAATTGAAAAATAATTCTGTAATTAAAAAAAATATGTAGGAAATTTGGGACCTCAGGAAAATATGTCACTTGCTTTGTTTACTTGCTATTGTCATACCAAGTTCAAAAGACCACAAATAGACTACCAAGGAACCGGGTCTCCAATGCAAAAGCAACGGTTTCTTTAATAATTACTGAGTTAACTGTGTTAACTTGGGTCTTCAGCCTATCCACTAAAGTGGATGGAGTGAGAAGGACCCAGAGTGGTGCTGGGCAAGGAATTTATTGGGGTAGAGCAAGGGAATTGTATGGCATCCTCAACAGTATAGGGACTGTTGTACTTCTGGGCTTGGGCGACTTGTCCTATGATGATTGGTCAACTGGTTGCTATGGTCTATAGGCCCTACCCGGTGTTTGCTATGTTCTGTATGCTATATGCTACCATAAAGCACATTCAGGGCCTACCACCTAACTTCTGATTGGTTCCTTGCCACATGGAGGGTATCAGACATCCTAGTGACTAGGATGTTGGGCAAGGTCAGGAAGTTCAATTTTCTGCAGCCTGTTATTGTGCTAAAGCAGGGGGTCTGGGTGAGGGTCAGGTTCCTACACAATCCCCTTTAAATATATTTATTTTCAATTATGTGTATATGGATATGCTGGTGTATATTGGTGTTCATGAGACCACAAGACTAGTCATTGGATTTTCTTGAATCTACATATGGAGCCAGTTCTAAGGCACTTGATGAAGATGCTGGGAACTAAATTCAGATTCTCTTTGGGAGTATTTCATACTTGTATCCACTAAGTCATCTCTTCAGTTCTGAATTGCTTCTTCTTCAGATGGTTAACATTTTTATTTTCCTTTATCTTTAGGTCTGAAGTTCCAGGAAATTCAAGAAAGATTTGGTGAGGAATTCTTTAAGATATGCTTTGATGAGAATGAGAGAGTCCTTCGAGCTGTGGGTAGTACATTGCAGGACTTCTTCAATGGCTTTGATGCATTGTTGGAACACATTAGAACTTCTTTTGGGAAACAGGCAACTCTGGAGTCTCCATCTTTCCTATGCAAAGAGCTCCCTGAAGGTACTCTCATGCTACACTACTTTCATCCCCACCATACTGTGGGGTTTGCAATGCTGGGAATGATTAAGGCTGCAGGAAAGAGAATCTATCATTTGAATGTGGAAGTGGAGCAAATTGAAAATGAAAATTTGTGTTCTGATGGCTCAAGCCCAAGCAATTGTAGCTGTCTTTCTTTCCTTATCAAAGAATCTGAAACTCTTAACGTCACACAGAATATTCCACGGGGTACTTCCCAAGTTCCTGCAGATCTCAGAATCAGTATCAACACCTTCTGCAGAGCCTTCCCATTCCATTTGATGTTTGACCCCACCATGGCAGTTCTTCAGCTCGGGGAAGGCCTACGGAAGCAGCTTCGATGTGACACTCACAAAATGCTGAAGTTTGAGGACTGCTTTGAGATAGTCTCTCCAAAGGTTAATGCCACCTTTGAAAGGGTCTTGCTGCGACTATCTACCCCGTTCGTGATAAGGACCAAGCCTGAAGCTTCTGGTACTGAGAATAAAGACAAGGTAAGTAGACATAGATCCAGATGAATGATGGGCTCTAGTAGAATGAATAATTATTTCAATAAATATATGCTGGCTGTAGTTGTAATTATTTAGGCAAGAGAGCTTTAAGTGTCATTCAGAAGATTACTGGTCCTTGGAAGTATGCAGAAAGATTTGGCTGTATTCCCAGGCCTTTTACACAGTGTCTGCCTCATTTGTTAATTTATTTCAGCACATAAAAAGAAGACATTTATTAATAACAGCCACAGCAATTACAAAATGATAGGACTCACTGAAAATCTAACATTATAAACTCATGAATGTTTCCATGGAAAAGTCAGTGAAAAAAACCTTAAAGCAAACAAAGAGAATACTGTAGATTGATTATGATCTCTTAAATTTCACAGTTTTGGAACACTCCACTTATGCCGTGTGTGTGCCAAAAAATGTATTCTCTCAATGTTGGATATGGACTAATTAAATTTTAGTATTCAAATTTTATTATTCAAAGTTTAGGTTATTCCTCTGGATTCTAAATGTAAGGATTCAGGCATTATGTTGGCTTGCCCCTGTCACCTGCAGAATTCAATCAGGCAGTACCCTGGTCAGCCCAGTGTTCCATTGTTATGTAGCCTGTAGGCAAGTGCAAAGGACCCCTTTATAAGAAAGACCCCCACCCACTTGTGTTGTTTTTCTGCTGTTCCACTGAGTTAGATAGGAATCCTCCTGTCTCCCTCTTCTCATCTGTCTCTTCTCATTTTCTCTCTGTCTCTGTGTCTTTACCTCTTTTCCTTCCCCCTCCCTTTCTAATAAAACTTCTCACTTAACCTATATCTGACTAGATTGCTTGTCTTTCCTCCACCCCTCCCAACCCACCTCAGTCACTCCCCCTGCCATGAAATCTGCCAAGTTCCCCTACACAATTTATTATAACAGTAGTGATTCAAGAAGCTACTTATTTTTTTAGAAAGAACAAGGAGAAAAATGGCAGAAACAACAAAAAAATTGAATAAATGTATAATTTACCTAAATATCTCAAGAAATAAAAAATGGAAGGAAAGGCATGATTGCTCCCAGGTATGACAGAGGGGAAAGTTTATTATAGATATGTGGGAGAGCATAATCAGAGGCATGGATATCTGGGAGCAATAAAGTATACATGACCAGACTGAGCTGAGCCATTTGTGGGGAGGAGAAGAGAAAAGGAGGGTGAAAGAGGGGAATCAGATGCAGCTGTCAAGAGGTCAAAGGTCCAAAAGAGAGCAGATAAACAATCTGTCTGGATTATATAGGGAAGAACTCGGGGGGGGGGGGCAGGAGGATAGCATAGCCCCTGGGCTGGAGAGCTCTGTGTAGAGGGCATGGTATGTGAACCACACTTTGTAACAGGTAGGGATTTGAGGAATGCTTGGAGAAGACATCCCAAGTACAGCTTTGATCTGTTAAATGTGTACCTCAGCCATTAGTTGTGGGTTTGAAACTTAACACCATCCATATTATGAAGTGTCTTCAATGATAAGTGAAAGAAGAAATACCTCTGGGAACCATAACTGATGATCTATGAAAGAGTTTTATGAATGATTAATGTTATAATCTTGGAATTTAATAGAAGAGTTTTTAAAAAGACATTTGAGAATGGTAGAAAAAAGAACATCTGTTTCAAATGGCTAAATCAAGTGATGTAGAAAATTCACCTGTAAAATTTTTGACATGCAAATCTAAGGATTTGAAATAACTCGAGGACAGTGTTGGATTCCCACATGGCATATTTCAATATTTCAGTTTAAATATCACTTGTATTATTGGTACTATTTGATCACATGAAGGTATTGTATTAATATTTTAAGCTGTATGTTCTGTGTTTGGTAATCACTGCATTCTGAAGACTTTTCAGAATGGGAGGAAGTTGTGAAATGTATACTTTATTTTTTACTGCATTGGTTGCTGCTTTTATGTATTTGTTTTTGTCTTTTTGAGGTAGAGTTCTCTGTGTAGCTGTGGCAGTCCTGGAGCTTGCATTTTAGATCAAGCTGGCCTCAAACTAACAGAGATCTGCTTGCTTTTGCCTCCTGAGTGCTAGGATTAAAGGAGTGCACTCTACCACACAGCTGTAGTTGCTTTTTAAATCTATAATTGTTCTAGCTCTTACATTTAGACAATATTCAAACTGTCAGTTTTGTTTTATAAAACTTAAATATTTGGCTTGAGGTTTTGAAGCGTTTTTGGCCTTAAAATAAAAGCTAGCTTTGTGAAAATAGCCTGAATAAGAATATATTATTATACATGTTAATTTCTTTATATACCCTTTATATTTAAGGGAAAATCTTGAAATTTTAGGTTACTTCTTAGACTTCTCCCAAATTTACTGGGCTTGGGTTTCTATTTAATTTGTGTACCAGGATGAGAAATAGACATAATGAGATTATGACTCAAATGTCAGGGCCCCCTGCCAATTCCAATAGTAAGGAAGTGTGCTCATTGAGAGGTTGCAATTATCATTTAAACACGTTGGTGGTGGTTTAAAAATAATGTGATGGCAGGATTTTTACTTAGAATGAGATAATAATCTGTTCAACCTTATATTTATAATCTTGCTCACTCACACATATTTGCCAGAATGAGGAATTTGTGATGCTATGATTGTCTCCAGTTGAAAATTATTCAGTTAATGGTATAGCCTCTTGAACCATGAAAAATGTTTTGAATTAGTATATTACCCAATATCCTGTACACATTTTCAAATATGCAAAGAAGAAATAAAATAAGACTTCATTAAGTTTGACCTTGATATGAATCATTTCCTCATAAAAGCTATCCTTCATACACAACTCCAAGTGTTTCTTTAGTCAGCTTTAATAAAAAAGTACTCTTTATGCTACACTAAATAGTATCTAACCATCAACTGCTGTTAAAAAGATGAAGCCAACATTTAATCTTATGTCATATGATGGCATTTTCAGATTTAATTAAAATGCTTTGAATAAACTATCCTCTTTGTCATTTTGGATTCTTAGTCACAAGTTGAGTATATGGCAGAGTTGAACATGTTCATTGCTGATTTGCTGAGACAATAATGAAATAAAGCCAGTATCCTATACTCCACAGCATGGACTTGATCCTCTTATATGGGTTTTGGAAATGTAAAGGCAGCAACATTCCTGTTTTCATCTTTTTTAAAACTCAACTTCCTTTTAATTATTTTCTTTGCTTATCATAGGTCCATCATTAGAAATAGATAACCTGATACCTTATTCAGTGTTCTATGCTTGTGAAGAGACACACTGACCATTGAAACTCTTATAAAGGAAAATATTTAATTAGAGCTGGCTTACTGCTTCAGAAGTTTAGTACATTGTCATCATGGCAGGGAACCATGGTAACATGATGGCAGACATGATGTTAGAGAAGTACCTGAGATTTCTACACCTGGTTCCATAGGGAGCAAAAAATACAAAAGCCCCTGGGACTGGCCTTGGCCTTGAAATCTCAAAGCCCACCCCTAGTAACACACTTCTTGTAACTAGACCACATTTACTCCAAGAAGACCACATACCTCTTATTCCCTTGTAAGTAAAGTGACTTCCTGATGACTAAGCTTTAAAAGATATGAACATATTGGGGACAAATCTGTTCATATTACCACATTCTCTTCCCTGGCCCCCGAAGGCTTCTATCTATATCATAATGAAAATGCATTTAGTCCAATTTTAAAAGTCCAAAAGTCTATCATAGTACAATACGTAAAAGTCCAAAATATAGTCTCTTCTGAGATTCCAGGAAACCTCATACTGTCTGTCACTTATCAGAATCAAAAAGAAGATCACAGACTTCCAATATACAGTGGCACAGAATATACAATATCATACCAAAAATGGAATAAAGTTACCATAGTAAGAAAATTGGATCAAACCCCCCTGTAATATCAGTGGGGCATATTCTAACCACTGTACAACGTGTCTAATGGCAATGTAGTCTGAAACTATTTTCAGCTTTGTTGAGTACAATATACTTTTCTCTCTTGGGCTGGTTCCACATTCTGTCTGTAGTGCTACATGGCATGTATCCCATGCCTTTGGCATCTCCAACATCTTGGGCTCTCCAATGTAACCCAAGCTTCACCTTCACAGCTTCATACCATGACATCTCTAGGCCTCTGTGCAGAGACATCCCTGACACATTCCTGGCCTCAATGGCATATTTTAGCCACAGAGGGAGATTGTATCCTTGACTCTAAAGACTAAACAATGTGGCTGAAATTGCAAAGTTATTCCAGTACACTTCTTGGTGTTCTTTTTTCTCTTGCAACTCCACATTTGTATTTTTCCTTGCTCAGCTTACTCAATTTTGTAATAGAGCTCCATAATCAATTCCTAATAATCACACAACACAATCAGTAATGCATTGTCTTAAAACCTTGTCTGCCAACACCAGTAATCCAAACCCTTTAATTTTACCTCTGGCAGTATTTTTTGGTCATTGGCCAGAAAGTAGCCATACTTTCTCCATTAAAGTATCACAAGAACAGTCTCCATACCACTTATTAGTATTCATTTTCTCCAAAACCTTTTGAGCTGGGGCATTATAATCTACATGGCTCTCAGGACCATATTCTATATTCCTACTAGTATGGCCCTTTACGTTCCACTTAAAATGTTCAGCTTCTTTCCTAAAACAGAGTTCCAAATTCTATTAAATTATACTCATAATCATCATGGCCAGGTCACAGAAATACACACTCCCTGGTAATTAATTCTGCCTTACTGTTCTATTGCTATGAAAAACACCATGACCATGGAACCTTATAAATGAAAGCATTTAATTAGGGCTTGCTTACAGTTTCATAGATTTAGTCCATTGTCATCATAGCAGGGACTATGGTGGCATGCTGGCAGACATGGTGCTGCAACATGAAAGGTCTCCATCTGGATCTGCATGAAGTTAAAAGAGAGGAAGCTATTGGGGCTGGTTGTGCTTGAAACCTCAAAGCTTACCTCCTGTGAAATACTTTTTTTTCTTTTTTT